CTCAGGGAGCCACAGTCCTCTGCCCACAGCCCTATGCTGGGAGACTGGACACTAGGCGCCACATCCATCTCTCCTTCAGTTTTTCTTTCTGAGAAATGGGTGACACATAGAGCATGCCAGGCGTGTGGTTTTTTTTTTTTTTTTGACAGAGTCTCACTCTGTTGCCCAGGCTGGAGTGCAATGGTGGGATCACAGCTCACTGCAGCCTCAACCTACCATGCTCAGGTGTTCCTCCCTGAGTAGCTGGGACCACAGGCATGCACCATGTACAACCACACACCACCATGCACCACCACACACAACCACCCACCACCACGCACAACCACGCACCACCACACCTCATGCACCACACACAGCCACGCATCACCACGCACCGCCATGCACCGCCACACACAACCATGCATCGCCACGCACCGCCATGCACCACCATGCACCGCCATGCACCACCACGCACAACCACGCACAACCACGCACAAGCACGCACCACCAAGCACAGCTGATTTTTGAAGTTATTTTGGTACAGATGAGGTCTCCCTATGTTGCCCAAGCTGGTCTTGAACCCTTGGGCTCAAGTGGTCCTCCTGCTTAGGCTCCCAAATTGCTGGAGTTACAGGCATGAGCCACCACGCATGGGCCCAATTTGTAGCAATAGGGTCTCACTGGCTTTTATTTATTTATTTATTTGTTTGAGACAGAGTTTCACTCTTGTTGATCAGGCTGGAGTACAATGATGTGATCTCAACTCACTGCAACCTCCGCCTCCTGGGTTCAAGTGATTCTCCAGCCTCAGCCTCCTGAGTAGCTGGGATTATAGGCGTGTGCTACCACACCTGGCTAATTTTTGTATTTTTAATAGAGATGGGGTTTTGCCATGTTGGCCAGGCTGGTCTTGAACTCCTGACCTCAGGTGATCTGCCTGCCTTGGCCTCCCAAAGTGCTGGGATTACAGGTGTGATCCACTATGCCTGGCCCACAGGTTTTTATTTTTTGACTTAACTCTATCTTGGAGATTGTTTTATATTGATACATTTAGAGTTGCCTCTTTTTTAATGACTTTACAATAATAATAATAATATTAACAAAAGCAATAATAATAACAATGGTTTTATTGAGTCATTATAGTGTGCAAGGCGTGGTTGCAAATGCTTCATGCTGATTGGCTTACTGATTTGTCTTTGCAACAAATCTGTGAGCTAGGTTCTTGTTTCCATGGCAAAAACACCATGACAGAGAGGTTAAGTTGTTTAACCAGCTAGTATGTGGAAGAGCTGGGATTTGAACCCAGGAACTCTGTGTTCAGAACCTAGGTTCTTTTTCCCTTTTTTTTTTTTTTTTTTTTGAGATAGGGTCTGCCTCTGTCACCCAGGCCAGAGTGCAGTGACATGATCTGCCTCCCAGGCTCAAGCCATCCCACACCTCAGCCTCTGGAGTAGCTGGGACTACAGCCACCACACCCAGCTGATTTGTGTATGTGTGTGTGTAGAGACGGGGTTTTGCCATGTTGCCAAGCTGGTCTTGAACTCCTGAGCTCAAGCAATCTTCCTGCCTCAGCCTCCCAAAGTGCTGGGATTACAGGTGTGAGCCATCACGCCCAACCTCCTAGAGCCTAGGTTCTTAATCACTCTGGGCTTGACATTCCACTGTGGGGACATGGAACAGCCCTCCCTCTGCAAGTTGTGATTTGAGGTTTTTATCAACTTTAAGCAATGCTGTTAAGAATACGAGTGTGTGGGCCGGGCATGGTGGCTCATGCCTATAATCCCAGCACTTTGGGAGGCTGAGGCGGGTGGATCACCTGAGGTCAGGAGTTTGAGACCTGGGCGACAGAGTAAGACTGTGTCTCAAAAATAAATAAATAAATAAATAATAACAGTGTGCGGCAGCTCATGCCTGTAATCCAGCACTTTCAGAGGCTGAGGTGGGTGGATCCCTTGAGGTCAGGAGTTCAAAACCAGCCTGGCCAACTTGGTGAAACCCCATCTCTACTAAAAATACAAAAAATTGGCTGGGCGCGGTGGCTCACGCCTGTAATCCCAGCACTTTGGGAGGCTGAGACAGGCGGATCACAAGGTCAGGAGTTCGAGACCAGCCTGGCCAACATGGTGAAACCCTGTTTCTACTAAAAAAACAAAAATTAGCGAGGTGTGGCGCACATCTGTAGTCCCAGCTACTCAGGAGGCTGAGGCAGGAGAATTGCTTGAACCCAGGAGGTGCAGGTTGCAGTGAGCCGAGATCATGCCACTGCACTCCAGCCTGGGTGACAGAGTTAGGCTTTGTTTAAAAAAAAAAAAAAAAAAAAAATCAGCTGGGTGTGCTGGTGCATGCCTATAATCCCAGTTACTCAGGAGGCTGAGGCAGGAGAATAGTTTGAACCCAGGAGATGGAAGTTTCAGTGAGCCAAGGTCGCACCACTGCATGCCAGCCTGGGCGACAGAGTGAGACTCCGTGGCGGGGCGCAGTGGCTCACGCCTGTAATCCCAGCACTTTGGGAGGCCGAGGCGGGCAGATCATGAGGTCAGGAGATGGAGACCATCCTGGCTAACACGGTGCAACCCCGTCTCTACTAAAAAACAAACAAACAAAAAATCAGCTGGGCTTGGTGGCGGGTGCCTGTAGTCCCAGCTACTCGGGAGGCTGAGGCAGGAGAAGGGCATGAACCTGGGAGGCGGAGCTTGCAGTAAGCCAAGATCGTGCCACTGCATTCCAGCCTGGGCAACACAGCAAGACTCTGTCTCAAAAAAAAAATATATTGTTATTTACTAATCAATATTAATAATACTAATTTTAACACACTTAATATAGGTCAGGGTCTATTCTAAACCATTTTATCACTTTGAACCTTATGGAATTGCTATTACTTGGAGACAAGAAACAGTTGTATACTGGCAATTCCCCTGGCTCAACCTAATATATAAAATTTCATTTTTTCTTGGGAAGAACCCCCACAAGCAGGTTCCGTCATTATTCAGGTGAAGGGTTAGCAGATGTTCTTCTGTATGGGAAATTAACTTTCTAGCTACTACCCCTGGAAACCTGATGAAGGTAGGTGTCAGCTGTGTTGCCAGGCAACGTGACTTAGAATAACAATTACCCTTATTAGTAAATTGCATATATGAAAATACTTGGTGGGACGCCATGTCCAGTCCTATGGAGTTGTCACCTGAGTTGTTGGCTCCTGTGCACAGGAGGCCTCTAAGCCCAGGTGTACCCTGTACCCACCAATGTGGATCTCATTGCTTAGCTCCTGGATCTCACCTGGGGGCCACCCATGCTTCTACATGCATTGTGTGAGGTCACTCGTTTAATTCTTGCAACAACCCAGGAAGGGCAGTGAGATGTTACCCACTTTACAGAGAGGACACCTCGCTTGAGAAGAGAAATGACTTGTCTACGACATGCACCCAGGAAGTGGCAGAGCTGGGATTTGAACCCGAACCGGCCTGTTTCTATGGCCTGCTGATGGCTTATGCGGTTCCTACAACATAAGTGCCATGCAGACAAAGCTGGGGTCTGTCCTGCCCACTTGGTTGCTCAGTGCCAAGTATCTAAGATCTCCCAGCTAGGAAGTGCTGGGAATATGGCCGAAAGGAAGGAAAAAGTCAAGAAAAGTCAAGAAAAAGTCAAGAAAAAGTCAAGGATTTGAGCCTCAGTTTCCTCTCCGTGAAGTGGAGCTAACATTTCTCAACTCCCAGAGTTTTTATTTTTAATTTTTTAATTTTTAAGACAGTCTCGCCGGGCGCGGTTGGCTCACGCCTGTAATCCCAGCACTTTGGGAGGCCGAGGCGGGCGGATCACAAGGTCAGGAGATCGAGACCATCCTGGCTGACACGGTGAAACCCCGTCTCTACTAAAAATACAAAAAATTAGCCGGGTGTGGTGGCGGGCACCTGTGGTCCCAGCTACTCGGGAGGCTGAGGCAGGAGAATGGCGTGGGCCCCGGAGGCGGAGCTTGCAGTGAGCCGAGATCGCGCCACTGCACTCCAGCCTGGGCGACAGAGTGAGACTCTGTCTCAAAAAAAAAAAAAAAAAAAAAAAAGACAGTCTCGCTCTGTCGCCCAGGCTGGAGTGAAGTGTATGGTGTGATCTTGGCTCACTGCAGCCTCTACCTCCTAGCCTCAAGTGATTCTCTGCCTCAGTCCCCCAGGTAGCTGGGATTACAGGCATGCACCACCACGCCAGGCTAATTTTTGTATTCTTTGTAGACATAGGGTCTCACTATATTGCAAATTCCTGAGTTCAAGTGATCTGCCTTCCCCAGGCCTCCCAAAGTGCTAGGATTACAGGTGTGAGCCTTCATGCCTGGCCCATTATTTTCTTACCCATGATTCCCCTTAACCCCTAAATATTCCTAAATTTACTACCTAATGTCAAGCCCATTCTCTTATACAACCACAGTTCAATGATCAATTTCAGGAAACTAACACTGAGACAATACTATTAGAATCCACAGATCTTATTTATAATTTGTCAGTTGTTCCACCAATGTTTTTCCCCCCCTTTCTTTCTTTCTTTCTTTCCCTCCCTCCCTCCCTCCCTTCCTTCCTTCCTTCCTTCCTTCCTTCCTTCCTTTTCTTTCTTTCCTCCCTCCCTCCCTCCCTCCCTTCCTCCTTCCTTCCTTCCTCTCTCTCTCTCTCTGTCTCTCTCTCTCTCTCTCTCTCTTTCTTTTGGCTCACTTGCTCTTTCTTTCTATTTTTTTTGGCAGAGTCTTGCTCTGTCGCCCAGGCTGGAGTGCAGTGGTGTGATCTTGGCTCACTGCAACTTCTGCCTCCCTGGTTTAAGCGATTCTCCTGCCTCAGCCTCCTGAGTAGCTGCAATTACAGGTGCCCACCACCCCGCCCAGCTAATTTTTGTATTTTTAGTAGAGATGGGGTTTCACCATGTTGACCAGGCTGGTCTTGAACTCCCGACCTCAGATGATCGGCCTGCCTCGGCCTCCCAGAGTGCTGGAATTACAGGCATGAGCCACTGTTCCTGGTCCCACCAGTGTTTTTTTCTAGCAAAAGATTCACAAAAAGAAAACAAACTTTTTTTTCTTGGCTCAGGAACACAGGTTGCATTTAGTTGTCATGTTTATTTGTTTTTAAAAAGTTAACATTATCCTCATTCAAAATTCACACGGTGTGGGAGGATATTCAGAGAAGACTTTGCGGCTCTTGTTCCCCCTCCTACGCTGTTCACTTCCTGAGGGTCACCAGAGTTCCCAATTTCCCATGTGTTCCCCGGAGATATTCTGTGTTGACACAGCTAGTCATGTACATACTTTTTCCCTCTTTTTATGCATACCTAGTTTATTCTACGCTGTTCTGTACTTGCTTTAAAAAAAAAAAAAAACTTTAAGAGTCAGATCTCACTGTCGCCCAGGCTAGAGTACAGTGGCATGATCGTGGCTCACTGCAGCCTCAACCTCCTGGGCTCAAGTGATCCTCCCACCTCAGCCTCCCGAGTAGCTGGGACTACAGGTGCACGCTACCACACCTGGCCTTGCTTTTCTCTTGGATATTATGTTCTGGTTTTTTTCTTTCTTTCTTTCTTTTTTGGATCTTACGTTCTCTCTGGATATAGGATGCATCTTCCTCTTGTTCTACACCGCAGAATTGTCCATGGAGTCAGCTGGGCATGGTGGCTCATGCCTGTAATCCCAGCACTTTGGGAGGCCAAGGCAGGTGGATCACTTGAAGTCAGGAATTAGAGACCAGCCTGACCAATATGGTGAAACCCCATCTCTACTAAAAATACAAAAATTAGCCTGGTGTGGTGTCACACGCCTGTAATCCCAGGTACTCGGGAGGCTGAAGCAGGAGAATCGCTTGAACCCAGGAGGTGGAGGTTGCAATGAACCGAGATTGCGCTACTGCACTCCAGCCTGGGCAACACAGTGAGACTCCAACTCAAAAAAAAAAAAAAAGGTCTATGGAGTGCATAAGCCATGGTTCATTTACCTTGTCCCCTTCTGATGGGCACTTAGGTGGTCTCCATGCTTTTGTTAGCACAGATGGCACTGCAGGGAATGACCTCGAACTCAGATCACTTTGCATGTGTATGAGCGTACCATCGGCTGAATTTCTAGAGTGGAATTGGGGCTCCATGGTTTATGCATTTGTCATTCAGATTTTTTTTTAAAAAGCGAAGTTGCTCTCCATAAAGCTTGTTCCTGTAGAACACCCCCAGTATTACGTGAGGACATCTGGGTTTCCTACATAGCCACCAGCACAGTGGGGTTTTTGTTTTTATGTTTTACTTATTTATTTTTTTTGAGACAGGCTCGCTCTCTCTCGCCCAGACTGACTGGAGTGCAGTGGCACAGTCTCAGCTCACTGCAACCTTGACCTCCCAGGTTCAAGCGATCCTCCCACGTCAGCCTCCATAGTAGCTGGGACTGCAGGCACGTGCCACCACGCCCGGCTAATTTTTGTATTTTTTGTAGAGACAGAGTTTCACCATGTTGCCCAGGCTGGTCTCCAACTCCTGGGCTCAAGCAATTTGCCTGTCTGGGCCTCTCAAAGTGCTGGCATTATGGGTGTGAGCCACTGTGCCCGGAGGCAGTGGGATTTTTTTTTTTTTTTTTTTTTTTTTTGAGACGGCATCTCACTCTGTCATCCTGGATTTCAATGGTGAGATCTTGGCTCACTGAAACCTCTGCCTCCCGGGTTCAAGCAATTGTCCTGCCTCAACCTCCTGAGTAGCTGGGATTATAGGCATGTGCCACCATGCCTGGCTAATTTTTGTATTTTTAGTAGAGACAGGGTTTCACCATGTTGGCCTGGCTGGTCTCGAATGCCTGACCTCAAGTTATCCACCCACCTCAGCCTCCCAAAGTGTTGGGATTACAAGCATGAGCCACCACACCTGACCCACAGTGGGCTTTTTAGAAAGAGTTTCATTGAGGCATAATTCATGTCCCCATACAATTCATTCATTTAAATTGTAAAGTTCTGTGTCTTTTAGTATATTCAAAGTTATGCAAACATTACCACAATCAATTTTAGAACATTTTCATTACTCCCCAAAAGAAACCCTGCATCCCTTAGCCTCTCGGTTCCCCCATCTACCCCAGTCCGGGCAACCATGATTCTACTTTCCATTTCTATGTTAATTTGCCTGTTCGGGATATTTCTTTTTTTCTTTTCTTTTTTTTTTTGAGACGGAGTCTCGCTCTGTCACTCAGGCTGGAGTGCAGTGGCGCGATCTTAGCTCACTGCAAGCTCCACCTCCCGGGTTCAAGCGATTCTTCTGCCTCAGCCTCCCGAGTATTTGGGACTACAGGCGCCCGCCACCTCACCCGGCTGATTTCTGTATTTTTAGTGGAGATGGGGTTTCGCCGTATTGGCCAGGCTGGTCTCGAGCTCCCGGCCTCAGGTGATCCGCCTGCCTTGGACTCCCAAAGTGCTGGGATTACAGGCGTGAGCCACTGCGCTCGGCCTGACATTATAAATGGGATCATACCCCTGTGAGGTCCTTTCACTCAGCATATGTCGACAGTAGCGTTTTGATTTGTGCTGACTGGGTGGTGGTTTCACTGGGCAGTGCTCTGACTTAGGGTGGCGATCAAGCCTTTTTCCTATGCTCATGGGCTTTTTGTGTTTTCAGGGCTCCATTGGCCTCCAGAGGACGGGGAGCCTGCCCCGGAAAAGGGGAGAGAGGGCGAGCCAGAGAGGATCCCCCCGACCTCTGTCCTTCCATTGTACTGGTGAGGATCCCCCTGTTTCCCGCTTCCTTCCCGCATCAGCACCCATCCTGCAGCAGAGGATGGAGGAAACCCGCACCTCTGCCTGCAGGGGGAGAAGTGGAGGGGCTCAGGCCAGGGTGTATCCAGCCCCGTAACCTGGTCCCCTCTATCCTAGAATCCCTGGAGGCCTCAGCTCTCCCGCCAGCAGTGGGGGACTCCGGCAGATACCCCCTCTACCAGCTGCTGAACTGTGGCCGTGGGAATAGGTGAGACATCAGGGAGAAGGTGGGGAGATGGGAGAAGAGGCCCAGCCACTGTAACCCACCCCGTCTGTGTTCCCTCCTCCTAGCTGTGGGGCCGTCCACCCGGACATTGCCCACATGGAGCGGCTCCTGCAGCAGGCCATGGCGGAGAGGGAGCGGCTGCTCAAGGCCCGGGTGAGAGCCCAGGCCATCCTCTTAGGAACAGAAGACTGCCCCAGCCCTTCTTCCCTCAGACCCGGGAGACCCCTAGTCCCTCCTCCCTCAGACCCAGGAGTCCAGGCCCCCAGCCCTTCTTCCCTCAGACCCGGGAGACCCCTAGTCCCTCCTCCCTCAGACCCAGGAGTCCAGGCCCCCAGCCTCTCCTCCCTCAGACCCGGGGGTCCCGGCCCCTCCTCCCTCAGACCCAGGGGTCCAGGCCCCCAGCCCCACCTCCTTCAGACCCAGGATTCCAGGCCCCCAGCCCCTCTACCCTCAGAACAGGGAACCTAGGACATTCTCCAGCCACCCTATCATCTTATGGGCTGGCATCCTCATTGAGTGCTTCATCCTAAATCCACAGGAAGGAACAAGAAGGGGCACGGAAGCTTCCTCAGGCCCTGCTGTCCCTGCCATCACGGTCAGTCCCACCCCTGCCCTCACGCCCACCTCTCCCTGCTCCGTTTCTCCCCCTGACCTATGCCCTTTCTTACATCTGACCCTTTCCTTTCCTCCAATGGAACAGAAAAGTGTCCGGGGCTTGGCAAGGGAAAGGGAACTGCAGAGGACCAGTGCCTGTTCCCATGACCTGTCGATGGTCATCTCTATGTGTGGCAGGTCCTCGGGTAACTTGCACTACTCTGCCTCGGTTTCCTCTTCTGTACATTGGTGACAATGTCAGCAGTCAGTACAGAAGGACAAGTCCATGCTGGGACTTATTCCTGGCCTCTAGCAATCCTCCTACCTCAGCCTCTCAGAGTACTGGGATTATAGTGTGAACCACCATACCCGGTCCATGCTGGAACTTTTCAAAATCATTTAAAATTTTGTTTTTGGCCGGGCGCGGTGGCTTGTGCCTGTAATCCTAGCACTTTGGGAGGCCAAGGTGGGTGGATCACCTGAGGTCAGGAGTTTGCAACCAGCCTGGCCAACATGGCGAAACCCCATCTCTACTAAAAATACAAAAATTAGCCAGGTGTGGTGTCAACACTCCTATATCCAGCTTACTAGGAGGCTGAGGACGAGGAATCCGTTGAACGCGGAAGGTGGAGGTTGCAGTGAGCCAGAGATCACGCCAATTGCACTCCAGCCTTGGCGACAAGAATGAAACACCATCTCAAAAAAAAAAACAAAAAACAAAAACAAAACAAAAACCTGTTTTATTTATATAAAAAAAAAACTTTTTTTTTTTTTTGGCCGGGTGCGTGGTGGCTCACGCCTGTAATCCCAGCATTGGGACCGAGACGGCTGGGGATCACCGAGGTCAGGGGAAATCGAGACAGATCCTCTGGCCATAAACAGTGAAACCACTTCTTTACTAAAAAATACAAAAACTAGCGCCGGGTTGAGCGTGGCAGGTGCCTTAGTCCACAGCTAGTCGGGAGGCTGAGGCAGGGATGCATGAAGCACACGGAGAGGTGGACTTGCAGTGATGCTGAGTCTGGCCACTGCACTCCAGCTGGGCGACAGAGCAAGGATCCGGCTCCAAAAAAAAAAAATTTTTATTTTAGAAAAATTCAAGCATATGCACGAGAGAAGGAGTAGATTAATAGACCCCCAGGTGCCCACTGCGCAGCTTCAATCATTTTCAATATTGAATCTTGTTGTACTTGTCAACTTTTTATTTATTTTATTTAACTTTTTAATTTGTGTGAGTATGTACTAGGTATATATATTTTTTTATTTTTATTTTTAATATTTTTCTTTTATTCTCAGTAGGTCTTCTGCACTCCTATGTTTTTAATGTATTTTATTTTTGTAGAGATAGAGTCTTGCTATGTTGTCCAGGCTGATCTCAAACTCCTGGCCTCAAACAATCCTCCCATCTCAGCCTCCTAAAGTGCTAGAATTATAAGCATGAGCCCCTGGTGCCTAGCCACCAATTTTATTTTACTAATCCCATACCTACATCCCACTCTGCACCGAAGTGTTTTAAAGCAAAATATTGTATCCTTTCACTCAAACATCACTATTTATCTCCAATAGATAGGCTTGTTTTTGGGGGGACGAAGTTTTCTGTTGTCGCCCAGGCTAGAGTGCAGTGATGTGATCTCAGCTCACTGGAACCTCTGCCTCCCTGGTTCAAGTGATTCTCCTACCTCAGCCTCCCAAGTAGCTGGGACTACAGGTGCCCACCACCACACCCATTTAATTGTTTTTGTTTTGTTTTTAGTAGAGATGGGGTTTTGCCATGTTGTCCAGGCTGGCCTTGAACTCCTGACCTCAGGTGATCTGCCTGCCTTGGCCTCAAAAAGTGCTGGGATTACAAGTGTGAGCCACTGTGCCTGGCCAATAGGTTTTTTTTTTTCTTTAACATAACAAAAATTCCATTGCCATATCTTATGATATTATTAATTTCATTATATTGTAATATATAGTTCATATTCACATTTCTCTCATTGTCTCCAAAATATATATATTTTTAAATTTATTTTTTATTTTTCTTTTCCTTTTTTTTTTTTTTTTTGTTTTTTCAAGATGGAGTCTCACTTTGTTGCCCAAGCTGGAGTACAGTGGCACCATCTTGGCTCACTGCAACCTCCGCCTCCAGGGTTCAAGCGATTCTTCTGCCTCAGCCTCTGGAGTAGCTGGGATTTCAGGCGCCCACCACCATGCCTGGCTAATTTATAGTAGAGATAGGGTTTCACCATGTTGGCCAGGCTGGTTTTGAACTCCTGACCTCAGGTGATGCACCCGCCTTGGCCTCCCAAAGTGCTGGCATTACAGGCATGAGCTACCGTGCCTGGCTTTGTTTTCTATTTTTAACAGTAGAGACACTATATTGGCCAGACTGGTATTGAATTCCTGGCCTCAAGCCTCCCTTCTGGCCAAAGTGCTGAGATAGGCCGGAGCCACCATGCCTGACCCAAAATATCTTTTCATAGTTGATTTATTTGAATTTATATGCAAAGCACACACTATGCATTTGGTTTAATGGCTCTTAAATCTTTTAATTTCTAACAGTTTTGTCTCCCCATTAAAAAAAAAAACACTATTTATTTGTGGAAATAATCCAATCATGTATCCTGTTGACTTTTTTCACATTCTTGATTTAGCTGACAGCTGTCTTACATAAATTATATTTTTACCTATACTAATAATATTCATAGAACGAATGCATTTTGTTATAAAGAATGATAAAGCTAGGCACCGTAGCTCACGCCTATAATCTCAGCACTTTGAGAGGCCGAGGTGGGAGGATCACTTGAGTCCCAGAGCTGGAGACCAGCCTGGGCAGCATAGTCAGACCCTCATCTCTATAGAAAGTTAAAAAATTAGCAGGTGTGGTGGTGCATGCCTGTGGTCCCAGCTACTCAGGAGGCTGACGTGGGAGGATTGCTTGAGCCCAGAAGGCGGAGGCTGCAATGAGCTATGATTGCGCCACTGCACTCCAGCTTCAGTGACAGAGTGAGACCCCACCTCAAAAAAAAAAGAATGGTAGATAAAGTATTAAGAAAGTGGTCGCTTTCTTCCTGATCTCACTTCTACTGCTGAGAAGCCTTCAAATCTATGTTTATACTTTTCCACGGGCACCAATCACGCCATATTTTGTGAATTTATTTGCCTCATAAATAAGCAATCCTTCCCAACCTTTTTGTTTTTACCACCATCTGTCCTTCCCTTGTTCATTTCAGCCAATATTTATTGAGTGCCTACAGTATGCTAGATCCTGGATTATAGCAGTGACCAAGATAACAGTCCCCACCTTTGGGGGAAGCTGATGTTTTAAGGGGGAAGAAAGATGGACACAAAACAACATCAATATGTAAAGTAAATAGCATGTCAGAGGCTGATAAGAGCCAGGGAGCAAAATAACGCAGGAACGGCAGTGGGGTCTTCTGTGTTGTTAGGCATAAGCTTGTGCTCATTAAAAACGAAGCACAGGCCAGGTGCGGTGGCTCACGCCTGTAATCCCAGCACTTTGGGAGGCCAAGGCAGGCAGATTACCTGAGGTCGGGAGTTCGAGACCACCCTGACCAATGTAGAGAAACCCCATCTCTACTAAAAATAGAAAAATTAGCCGGGCGTGGTGGCATGTGCCTGTAGTCCCAGCTACCTGAGAGGCTGAGGCGGGAGAATCACTTGAACTGGGAAGCAGAGGTTGCAGTGAGCCAAGATCACACCACTGCACTCCAGCCTGGGCGACAGAGTGAGACTGTCTCAAAACAAACAAACAAACAAACAAACAGAATTGTTCCTGCTCTGGTGTTCTGCCTGGCTTGTAGCGTCATCATGTATTAAACAGTCCCCTGCTGTGTGCTTTGTCCCCTGCCCTACACCCCTGCTGTCTTTTGTGCACATGAGCAAGTGTGTCTCTGGGCTTCACACGTAGAAGGGGAACCTCTGGGTTGGAGACCCTGAAGGCAGTCAGCTAATCCTTGAAACAGACTCAAGAGGAGGGTGCTGTGATAAACCCTGTGTTTTAGCGCAGGGGACTGAGGCTCCCAGAGGGACAGGAGTTCTGTGGAGGTGACATAGCTGGGCAGTGGTGGAGTCCCAAGCCCATCCCTGGTCTTCTCCTAGATTGGGGCCCAGCTCCCTACATGCTAGTTCGGTGACCTTGGAGAGTCACCTCTTCTTAAAGCCTCAGTTTCTTGATCTGTCTAGTGGGGACATTAATGGGTTGTTTTGGGGAAGAAACGAAATAATCACAGTGACCACTTGGCATAGTGCCTGACACAGAGCGGGAGCTTCCACACACGGTGGCGATCCTTGGTCTTCCTGTGTGGATTTGGGGAGATTGCAGGCCCAGCGGGTGCTCTTCAAACCTGGCTTTCCCTCCCTGCAGTCCTCCTCCCTAATCCTTCTCATTTCCCCACCTCACTCTCCTGTCTCCAACCAGTAAATCTCATCTCTGTTTCTCATCCCTTCTTGCTCTGGCCTTGCTTCAGTTTTCTTTCTTTCTTTTTTTTTTTTTTTGAGACATGATCTCTCTTTGTCACCCAGGCTGGAGTGCAGTGGTCTGATCTCGGCTCACTGCAACCTCCACCTCCTGGGCTCAAGCTATCCTCTCACCTCAGCCTCCTAATTAGCTGGGATCCTAGCATACACCACCACACCTGGCTAATTTTTATATTATTATTTTTTTGAGATGGAGTTTCGCTCTTGTTGCCCAGGCTGGAGTGCAATGGTGCCGTCTTGACTTACCACAACCTCCACCTCCCGGGTTCAAGCGATTCTCCTGCCTCAGCCTCCCGAGTAGCTGGGATTACAGGCATGCGCCACCACGCCTGGCTAATTTTGTATTTTTAGCAGAGACGGAGTTTCTTCATGTTGGTCAGGCTGGTCTCGAACTCCTGACCTTGGGTGATCCGCCCAGCTTGGCTTCCCAAAGTGCTAGGATTACAAGCGTGAGCCACCGAGCCTGGCCTAAGTTTTGTATTTTTTGTAGAGACGGGGTTTCACCATTTTGCCCCAAGCTGGTCTCAAACTCCTGGGTTTAAGGGATCCTGACCTCTTGGCCTCCCAAAGTGCTGGGATTACAGGTGTGAGCCTCCGCACCCATCCTGCTTCAGTTTTCTAACTCCTTGACACTCAAAGTGTGGCTGGTGGAACAGCAGCATCAGAGCCCACCTGGGAGCTTGTCAGACATGCAGAACCTCTCCCCTTACTCCAGACTCCACCCTGAAATGACTGAATCAGGGTCTGCATTTTTTTTTTTTTTGACACGGAGCCTTGCTCTGTTGCCCAGGCTGGAGTGTAGTGGTGCGATCTCGGCTCACTGCAAGCTCCACCTCCTGGGTTCACGCCATTCTCCTGCCTCAGTCTCCTGAGTAGCTGGGACTACAGGCGCCCACCACCACGCCTGGCTAATTTTTTGTCTTTTTAGTAGAGACAGGGTTTCACTATGTTAGCCAGGATGGTCTTGATCTCCTGACCTCCTGATCTGCCTGCCTCGGCCTCCCAAAGTGCTGGCATTACAGGCGTGAGCCACCGCACCTGGCCCAGAGTCTGCATGTTAACATTTTAACAAAAATCCCCAGTGGATCTGCTTGCACGAAGAAATCTGAGATGTACTGAACCTCCGTTTGACCTCCGGAATCCTACCACTGTTTGCAGGGATTATTTGGGAAGAATAGGTTGGATCAGACCAGCTCATGGTCAGGCTCTCATAAATAATGGACACTTGTCTTGCCTTAAATCCTCCTCCTCAACCTGTTTGACCATCTGAGGTGACCACTCCACCTGGTGAGTTCTGGCTCTGTCAGCTCTGGCTGTGTGACTTGTCTCGAGCGACTTAACCTCTCTCTCTGAGTCTTGGTTTCCACATCTGTGAAATGGAGATAAATGTACTTACCCCTCCAGGAGAGTTTGAGGGGGCAGAGATTATACCTAGAAAGTACTTAGCAGAGGATTATATTCATCAATTTCAATCACAACAATAATAACAATAATAATGTAAACAAGCACTCTCTGTTTTATTTTTGAGACAGGGTCTCACTCAGTCACCCAGGCTGGAGTGCAGTGGTGCAATCATAGCTTAGTGCAACTTCCATCTCCTGGGCTCAAGCGATCCTCCTGGGCTCAGCTTCTTTAGTAGCTGGAACTACAGGTGTGCGCCACCAGGCCCAGCTAATTTTCTGGATTTTTAGTAGAGATGGGGTCCCTCTATATTGCCCAGGCTGGTCTCCAACTCATAGCCTCAAGTGATCCTTCCACTTCAGCTTCCCAAAGTGCTGGGATTACAGGCATGAGCCACTGCACATAGCTTCTCTTCTCTCTCTCTCTCTCTCTCTCTCTCTCTCTCTCTTTAAATAGAGAAGGGGTCTTCTGTGTTGCCCAGGCTGGTTTCAAACTCCTGGGATCAAGGGATCCTCCCACCTCAGTCTCCTGAGTAGCTGGAATTACAGGCTGAAGCGACCACACAGGCTCCAATCTTCATTTCTTTTTTTCCAAAAAGAGAAGTTTTTTTTCAGAGACAGGATCTCACTGTGTTGCCCAGGCTGCCCTTGAATTCTTAGGCCTAAGGGATCTTCCTGCCTCAGCTTCCCAAAGTCCTGAGATTACAGGCATAAGCCACCATGCCCAGCCCGATCTTCATTTTGCTAGGCCTCTGATGTTTCAGGGTGAGCTCTAGAGTCAGAAATACCTGGGTTTGTGTCCCAGTTCTGCTGCCTAGAAGCTCTGTGTGACCTCGGGTGCATTACGTCATCTCTCTGTACCTCATTTTGCTCATTTGTAAAATGGGCCTGACAGTTGCCATGAAGTGCCAAGCAGCTGTTGTCCATAAAGCCCTGGGCAGAGCATCATAGTCAATCCATGTAGCCATTGCATTCGTTAGATGATCCTTGTTAATATTACCCTTTAAAGACTGTAGCGGGCCTTACACGCAAGCTGCTATGACTTGCTCCCCTGGAGGGGCTCCAGGCTGTAGAATCCCCCACCCCTTACATCAGCTGCCTCTTCTCTTTGCTCCCCAGGCCCCGCCCACCCCACCCCACCCTCCAGGCCCGCGAATCTTGGATCTTCGGCAGCATCTGGAGGGATGGGGCCACAACCCAGAAAACTGCCCACATGTGCAGGTGTCTGGGGGCTGCTGCCGCGGACCCCTGGTAAAGATGGGCGGCCGCATCAAGACCTGGAGGAAGCGATGGTTCTGCTTTGACCGCCAAGCCCGCCGCTTGGCCTACTATGCGGGTAAGCCCAGCCTGGCCACCATGGGCCCCGGGATGCTGCAATTCCACTCCGGAGGCCTTTCCCCTACAGGCACCAGAAGTCCTGGCCCCCACTTTCCGTGTTTCCCAGGATCCGGAAGTTTGGTTCCTTAGCTCCTACCTTCCCTACAACCCAGGAGTCCAGGCTCTCAGCTCCCTCTTTCCTCCAGATCCTGGAGTCCAGATCCCCAGCCCCTCTTTAAGTCACCCAGAATTCAAACCCCCAGTCGTCCTCAGGGACATAGATAACAGATAGATAACAGCTTAATACAATTCAAGCTTCCCAGGGCCCATGTTCCTAAGACACCCATGAGTCTGAACCTGCACTGTCAGCTGCCCTCAGTCCCCCAACAGCCAGGAGTCTCGGGCCTTGTCCTTCTTCTCTAGGAGAATCAATTATTCCAAACCTCTCCTTGGACACTTTTTTTTTTTTTTTTTAACGGAGTCTTGCTCTGTCACCCAGGCTGAAGTGCAGTGGCGTGATCTCAGCTCACTGTAACCTCTGCCTCCCAGGTTTAAGCGATTCTCCTGCCTCAGCCTCCCGAATGGCTGGGACTACAGGCTCTTGCCACCACACCCGGCTAATTTTTTGTATTTTTAGTAGAGACGGGGTTTCACTGTGTTAACCTGGATGGTCTTGATTTCCTGACCTTGTGATCCGCCTGCCTTGTCCTCCCAAAGTGCTGGGATTACAGGCGTGAGCCACTGCGCCCAGCCTCCTTAGACACTTGTATTGCCTTAAATCCTTCTCCCCTAACCTGTATGAACATCTGACTCTACCTAGTGAGTCCTGGCCCTGTCAGCCCTGGCTGCGTGACTTGTGCTGGGTGACTTAACCTCTGAGTCTTGGTTTTCACATCTGTGAAGTGGAGATAAATGTACTTACCCCTCCAGGAGAGTTTGAGGGGGTTAGAGATTATACCTAGAAAGTACTTGAGTACTCCCTGAGTTCCTTCCCTTCTCACAGTCCAAGGCACTCAGAGCCTAGGATTCCAGCTCCACAGACCCCACTCCCCAGTGGTGTCCAGTTTCTGCACCCAATCTCCCATCCAGCATTAACATTCACTCACCTCTCAACCTTTAGAGACCTTCAGACTCTTGTCACCATGTTTTGTACCCCAAATCCAGTCTCAGGACTTAGGGCCAATGACCCTCACCTCGACACACACAGATACACCTTTCTCATTGCTCTCTTTTTCTCTTACCTCCCCTACCAGACAAGGAAGAGACCAAGCTCAAAGGTGTCATCTACTTCCAGGCCATTGAGGAAGTCTATTACGACCACTTACGCTGTGCCTTCAAGGTGAAGTCCCTCAATGTCACCCTACCCTCCCAGTTGGAGTCCCAGCTGGAGTGAGGCCTTATCTCATCCCTGACTCATCCTGGGGAAAACCACTCGCAGCTTCTCCTGTCAGGGTACTTACAGGAGTACCTGTTTGTCGCAGAGAAGACAAACAGGTCACCTGACTGCAGGGACTAAAAATTAAGAGCTCACACTCTGGCTTTCAGCTACTATTAATTTTCTTTTCTTTTCTTTTCTTTTTTAAGATGGAGTCTCATTCTGTTGCCCAGGCTGGAGTGCAGTGGCGCTATCTCTGCTCACTGCAACCTCTGCCTCCCTGGTTCAAGCTATTCTCCTGCCTCAGCCTCCCGAGTAGCTGGGATTACAGGCGTGCCACCGTGTCTGGCTAATTTTTGTATTTTTAGTAGAGACGGGGTTTCACTGTGCTGGCCAGGCTGGTCTCAAACTCCTGACTTCATGATCTGCCCACCTTGGCCTCTCAAAGTGCTGGGATTACAAGCCATCACACGTGGCTCTTTTTTAATTTTTAAGACGGAGTCTGGCTCTGTCGCCCAGGCTGGAGTGCAGTGGCGTTATATTGGCTCACTGCAACCTCTGCCTCCTGGGTTCAAGCAATTCTCCTGCTTTAGCCTCCCGAGTAGTTGGGATTACAGGCGTGCCACCACACCTGGCTAACTTTTGTATTTTTAGTTGAGATGGGGTTTCACTGTGTTAGCCAGGCTGGTCTCGAACTCCTGACCTCATGATCTGCCCACCTTGGCCTCCCAAAGTGCTGGGATTACAGGCATGAGCCACTGCGCCTGGCCTGTCACTGTTAATTTTCTTGGAACAAAAGTTTTAGAGCCAAAATATGGCAAACTCTGATGTCAAACTGGGAATGAATGAAGAGGTCAGAGCAAGGGTGGGGCAACCTGGGAGCATCTAAAGGAGATGATCTGCCAGGTGTGGTGGCTCATGCCTGTAATCCCAACATTTTGGGAGACCGAGATGGGGGGATTGCATGAGGCCAGGAGTTCGAGCATGGTCAACATAGCAATATTCCATCTCTCTTTTTTTTTGAATTTTTAAGTGAAAAACAAATAAAGGAAATGGTTGTTACTTGGCTCCTGCCAACAGTTGCCAAGTGGGAGTGGGCCCCAGAGAACTCAGGAATTGGAACTTGTATAAAAGCACAGTGCCAAAAATTTAAATATTGGCAACGGATACAATATTTAGAAAGCTCTGTGGAGAATAACCAAACTGTGGCTTTTTAGCAATTAGGTTGGAATCTCAGCTATGTGACATCAGGAAAGTGAATTCTTTTCTTTAGCCTTAGTTTTCTTTGTTTCTTTTCTTCTTCTTCTTTTTTTTTTTTTTTTTTTTTGAGACAGGGTCTTGCTCTGTCGCCCAGGCTGGAGTGCAGTGGCACAATCATAGCTCACTGTAGCCTCTATCTCTCAGGCTCAAGCAATTCTCCTGCCTCAGCCTCCTGAGTAGCTAGGACTATATGTGCACGCCACTACACCCAGCTAATTTGTTTTGTTTTGTTTTTCTGGTATTTTTTGTAGAGATGGGGTCTCCCTATGTTGCCCAGGCTGGTTTCGAACTCCTGAGTTCAAGCAGTCTATCCGTTTCAACCTCCCAAAGTGCTGAGATTGCAGGCACGAGCCACCCAGCCCAGCCAGCCTTAGTTTTCTCATGTGTAGAATGGGCATGCATCAACGCATTCCATCAGGGTTATTGAGAGGACTAAACACAGATTATGGACATAAGGGATTTACTCAATTTGGGATTGGCAAGTGGGTACTCAATAACGGATTCTAGACACTAACTTTCCCAAGGTACGAGGGGACCGAGATTTTGGGGAGGTGGAATTTGAATGCCTATATTTCTAATATAGGAGAAGTTAGGCTGAGAGAAGGCGTGGTGCGGTGGCTCACACCTGTAAGCCTAGCACTTTGGGAGGCCGACACGGGTGGATCACGAGGTCAAGAGATTGAGACCAACCTGACCAACACGGTGAAACGCCGTCTGTACTAAAAATACAAAAATTAGCCGGGCATGGTGGCGCACGCCTGTAATCCCAGCTACTCTGGAGGCTGAGGCAGGAGAATCGCTTGAACCCGAGAGGTGGATGTTGCAGTGAGCCAAGATCACGCCACTGCACTCCAGCCTGGCGACAGAGCGAGACTCCGTCTTAGGACCTATACTGGCACGGGGCGCGGGCCTTGACACCCAGGCTGTAATTTGTTTTTTGTTTTTGTTTTTTTCTGGTATTTTTGTAGGAGGATTGGGGTCTTCCTTATGTTTGCCCAGGGGCTGGTTTCGAAACTTCCGGGTTCAAGCCAGTCTTTCCGTTTCAACCTCCAAAAGGTGGACTGGGAGATTGCAGGCACGGACACCAGCCGCCCATGGCACACCTTAGTTTTTCTCATGTGTAGGAATGGGCATTGCAGATCAAACGGCAGTTTCCATTCAGGCTTATTTGAAGAGGGACTAAAAACAGATTATTGGACCATAAGGGATTACTCAATTTTGGGGATTGGCAAGTGGGGTTACTCAATAACGGATTTTCTAGACACTAAACTTTCCCCAAGGTACGGAGGGACCGAGATTTTGGGGGGTGGAATTTTGAATGGCCTATATTTCTAATATAGGAGAAGTAGGCTGAGAGAAGGCGTGGTGCGGTGGCTCACACCTGTAAGCCTAGCACTTGGGAGGCCGACACGGGTGGATCACGAGGTCAAGGAAGATTAGGACAACAACCTGACCAACACG